TATGTGGGAACAGGGCCACCATGGCTAGTGTAGGCAGCTCTGGGGCAGGAGTGTGGCCCGATGGCTGGGGCTGTGCTGGGTGTAGGGGTGATCCCCATAGCCTTTCCTGTCTGGGACCCACCAGCATTGCTGACCTCATGCCACCTTGTTCTCTGTCCCTGCAGGCTCGCTGGGGCCCGGAGCTATCGGTGCCATTGTCATCGCTTCCCTCCTGGGTACATCAGTGCTTATAGCCTTGGTCGTCATCACGCTGAGAAAGTTCTCTGCCTCCTGAACTCAATAAAAGATTTTTCTGTAACACAACCTGCCCCTCTCCTGCCCTCACCTCCTCCTGCTCCCCATCTGCCCCGGGCCTGCGGGGGAGAAACGCTGCTGCGGATGCAGCCAGGGCACTCCGGCCTCTGTGCTGGGCTGCAATGCTGCACCCAGTAGTGCTCTTTGCTCTTAGCGTGCGTGTCTCCCGGGTGCCCACAGACCTGGCAGGCTCCACCACAGCAGGCAGGGTCTTCCCTGGAGTCGGGAGGGACCTGCGGCAGTGAGTAGCTTTGAGCTCACCCCAGCCCATGTTCAGCCCCACTTCCACCCCCTCTGGGCCAGTTGTCCCCCACCAGTCACAGTGGAAGGGGCTGGGGAGGAGGTGAACGGTTGGTGTGGGGGGAGGAAGAAAACGCACACGTGCTGCTTTGGCGCTGGCTCGCTCAGATATATTTCATCACACGGAAAAACGAGACGATGAGACGTTCCCCTCAGTTTGCTGAGGCAGCCTGGTGGGGCCGGGGGGCTCCAGCCCGTGCCTGTGGGCCCCAGGCCTGGCCCTGTACAACACTTGAGACCACTGAAACGGAGGCGTGCAGGGCTGGGTCTGAGGAAATAACACTGGATGCCACTTGGTGCCTGAAAACGGCACAGCCTGTGCCTAGAGTCTGGAGTCCTAAAAAGTCACAACAGAGCAAGAGGGGCCAGAGCGAGACCCAGGATGTGGCAGTGGGTCATGGGACAGTGCATGGCAGCCCTGAGCCCCCCTCCCCTGGAGAAATGCAGTGAGGAACTGGCATCCTGGCACTGGGGAACCTGGGCCAGCCTCTCCGCTAGAGAAAGAGCTGTTTCTGAGGGGTAAGGGAGTGTTTCTGTGCTACGAGAAACATCCCAGTCAGGTGCGTGGGGCTGTAGTGCCTAGCCTGGGCTGGCTGCTGAGCTGCAAAGCTGGAGGATCTGGTGATTTCTCAGGTGATTTTTAAGGAGTTCCTAGAGATGGGGCTCCTCTGGGTTTTGCGTTAAGAGAACTTGTGGCTGCTGCAAGGTCTGGACCCTGAGCTGGACGTTTGGTTGTAGTTGGAAAGCTGACTGTGGGGTGCTGCTGGGAGGGCCTGACTTGGGGTGTCCCAATTAAATGTGCTCGAAGCACCAGCCTGGGGCCTCTGATCCCTTCCTAGCACCCAGCTCTGGGCTAGGTGCTGGCAGGTGGCTGCGAGCCCTCTCCCTGGGCTGCTACAGGTGGCTGGAGCAAGCAGAGCCCTGCTGGCTGCTGCCACATGCTGACACAGTGGCACTGAGCTGGGCCAGAGGCGGGGACTGCTTTGCTCTCCCTTCACTGCTATCTCCCACCAGTTTGGTCCTGGGGGCTGGCTCTGGGCTGGCTGCCTCAGGACTGTGGTGACAGTACAGACAGGCCCAGCACTCAGCTGCATCCGGCCTCATGCCGCACACCCCACACGTAAGTGCTGTGCTCCGGTGTCCTGCTTCCTCCCTGTGCTGCCAGCAGCATGGCCGTGCTCCTCCGCTCTGTCCACATGGCTGTCAGCAAGCAGCTGCTCTCCATCCCCTTTTTGAGCATAACCGTGGCACTGCCGGAGCACACAGCAGCGCAGGCCACAGCGCCTGGAAGACTCTCCTTTGCAATGTTACTGAAAGATGCCAAATGATTGATTTCCCTGACGGACACTGGCTGCGGCTCGGGACCAACCTGTAACTAAGAGGCCCTTGGCTGTGGGACTGTTCAGAGCGAGGCGGTTGGAGCAACAGGCAGCTGCGATGGGTCTGTTCCCCTGGGTGGTCTCAGTGCTGTGTCCTGGGCTTCATGCGATGCTCAGTGCTACAGCTGGAAGGACTGATGATCTGGCTCTGCTGGCGACCGAGGATGTGCGGATATTCACAGAGGTGAGCCTGTACAGGGAGACTGTGCGCACAGGTTGTCTGTGCACAGCTGGGTGGTGTGGGGTACAAGCATGCAGGCAGCGATCGCGGGACAACGGCTCCTGGGATAATGTCACTTGCCTGCTGTGCGGCAGCCCTGGTCTGCTGGCGCTCCTGCAGCACACCGGGGTGTGCCGGCAGGTGCTGGTGCAGCCGCCCTGCGCTGTGCCTTGGCAGCGGCATGTTGTGGAGAAGACTGCGAGTGCCCGATCAGCTGGGAAAGGCTGCGGTGCCAGGCTTCTGCAGTGGCTCTGCGGAAGGATGCTGGCTGTGGAAGAGGGGATGAGCCATGGGGCAGGGACCAGATGTGCTTTGAGGCCATCAAGTGGGCAGAGATGTGGGTTAGGGCTGGTGAGGCTGGGCCACTGGTGGAGCGGAGCATTTTGGAGCCTTTGACTGGAAGCAGATTGAGGGTCTGCCTGTGGGAATGGGCCCAGCAGCTTCACAGCACGACCAGGGAAGCGGAGTGACCGGGGTTTGCCCCAGCCTGATGCCAACAGGCTGCATGACAGCATGCGTCTTAGAGGGGTAGGAACTGAAACAGCTTTAGGAGGGCCCCAAACTCAAAAGGTAGCAATGAGCTGTAAGTGCTCAAACTGGGCACTGTTAATTGCTTAGGTAGGTTTGTGGCCATGGGCCTTTCCCAAGTAGCCTGAGCCAGCCCCAGCTAGCACATGTGCAGGAGCAGGGGTCAGCTGGCTGGCACCCGGTGCCCTTCGGGCTGTGTCCGTTTGGCTCATGCTCTTTGGGGCTTTACAGAACACCTGGAAAGGGGTTATTTTAGCCAGTTTGAAACACTGACATCTAGGGAAGGATCAGTGCTGCGGGAAGCGTGGTGAGGAGCCCAGGAACTACAGTCTGTTTGTTCAGGGTCTGGCACACCAGGTCCTGCGCCACAGCCCACGGCGCCACTGCCACGTCCTCCCAGCTGGCAGCCTCTGTCCTCTGCCTCTCTCCCAGAGGCACTCCAGACGCTCGGGGATGCCAGCAGTCACTGGCGGTTTCTGCTGCCCAGTTTCCTCCGCTGACTGTCATCCGACTTGTGCACTCGGAAACACTCCTTCAAGTTCTGGGCTCGGATTTTGGGGTTCAGGATCTCCTCCCCCATAGAACTGGGGAACCAGCCCCTCTCCTGGTCGTGAAGACGCTCCCCAAATATCCAGCCTGAGCAGAAACAGAGACAGGCATAAGTGGTGAAGGACCAATGCTCGCTTCTGTGCTGGGACTGTTGTGCTGGGAAGAGCCTACGGAGCTGGCAGTGCTTTCTGGAAGCTGCTCAGAGGCCTATGCTGGAGCGGACCCAGTTTGTAAATCTAGCCAAGGAGGCCTGCTCGCCTGAGCAGCACTGTGTTTGGATAACTGGCTCAAGGGATGTCAGCAGAGAGCAGGCACTGCTGCCAGCGAGTGCTCTCTGATGCCACAGGAGCAGTCTGCAGCAGAGACCCAGGGTGACCGAGTTCACCAGCTGCAAGTGTGCCCCAGAGACCAGGAAGAGGTGGCTGTGAAGCATCACCACGGTAAGAACAGCTCTAGGTTACATCTGGGGTGGCCCACAGCCAGTGCCAGGGTGGCTGTACCAGCATTGCCACAGCTCAGGGCAACCTGGATTTGCTGAGTTTTAGGAGGAGGCAGCAGTGCGCTTGGCTGTGATACTAATGCCGGGGTCTCTCCCTAGCCAGAGGACCCCTCCTGTCTGTTTGGCAGCCACCTGCCTGAAGTGTTGCCCACCCTTCCACAGGGACTCCTGGCCCAGCCCCATCCCGTCCCCCATACCGTCATCTGTCTTGTCCAGGATGTTGAGGACATCAGCCAGTTCTAAGGACAGCTCGTCCGGCTGCTGGGCCACGTATGGGTGGACACACTGGATCTGCGGACAGTCTGCCAGGGAATAGGGCAAGAGTGAGGGATGGACTGGGACAGAGCCTGCTGCAGGACAGCGTGGCTCGGGGGAGCATAACACCGCGAGCTCTGACCTGGTACGACACCCCACAGAGGCCAAGGGCTGCCCCAGCCACAGGGACCAGGGAAGCATGTTTGGGGAGAAGGGAGCTGGGTATGCATCACGGCTGCAGTGCCACCCCATGAGCAGCTCGGGTGGCGGGGAGAGTGCTGGTGCAGCCCAGCCCAGGTTGGAGGGGAGGAAGGTGAGGGCCAGGCCCAGAGACAAGTGGCTACCGATGGTGGAAACGCAAGGGGAGCCCAGGGAGAGGGTTTGGCAGAGGCCCCAGGCCTGGAGTCTGGGGCAGAAGAAGGTGCCCTGTGGTAGGGATAAAGAGCTCCTGGCTCCCATGCTGTGTCTCTTACCAACAAGTCTGGATGTAAATGAAACAAACTTGGTTCTCCGATTTGGGGCCAGCGAAATCATCCAGCGCTTCATTTCGCTCCTGGATAGGGGAGACAAACCAAGGCTGTGAGCATGACACAGTTGTGGGGTCCCCAGCTCTCCTGCCCAGCCAGCCCTGAGCTCCTAATTCCTCCTTTCACATCTCTTTCCTGCTTGCCCCCCGGGGGTCTGGGACTCACTGGTGATGCCAAGCCCCCTCTTGCACACACCAGTTGGGATGTCACCTGCGTCACGGTGCCCTGGGCCCTGCTGCACAGGCCTGGCTTGCTGCAGGGTCCCCAGGCTGGCTGTCCCCACAGGCAGCAGGATCCCCCTTTGGGGAGCAGCACAGCTTCAGAGAGCCAGCAGCAGGGTGGGGTCCTGGCATCCTCTGAGCTCTAACCAGCAAAGGCAGCTCCTGGCTGAGCTGGGTCAATAGGAGCAGTTTTTCCTGGAGAAAAGCTGTTAGAGGAACCATTTATTCCCGCAGCTGCTGTGCAGGAACGTTTAAAAGGGCAGAGCTGATTAATTCACTTGCAGACGAATGCTGCGGCATACCAAGGGTACCGCTCGCTTGGCAGCGGATGACACAGACCCATGTTAACACGTCGCCAGATCCAGCACGCTGTTATGCAAAACCTGGGCCTGCAGCAGGAGGGTGAAGACTTCACAGGTGTGGAGAAGCCCCAGGCCTGGTGCTCCCTCGAGGCTTGGAAACGGGGCAGTTCATCTTCACTGGCTCCAGCTCCTGCCTGGAG